GGACATCATGCTTGGGAGGGTGGAGGGACAGCGTAGGAGGGGATGGCCCTCTATGAGGTGGATTGATTCAGTGACTGGGATAATCGGGATGGGAGTGTCAGAAATGGTGCGATTGGCACAAGACAGCAGAGTTTAGGGCTGTTGTACATAGGGTCGCTATGAGTCGCAAATGACTCAACAACAACACAATGTCTATTTGACTTTAGACTATTTGTGACTGCTCCTTTGTTAAGTTTTCTTTTTCATCTTTGTTGTAAATCAGTGTCCCATTTATATAGCTTGTTTTCTCTTTAAATCATGTTTATGTACGTGTTTTCTTTTAAGCTTTTTTCAGTTTTGCTTTTTACCTTAGTTGCCTAAGAAGATTTCATAGAGATTATAATACTTATTTTTAAATACAATTCCACTTACTGTTTTGCAATTTTAAAAAAAAAAAACTTTTATTTGCCATTTTGTATTAACTTACTAGTCAGATAAAAAAATTTTATTAGGTTCAACAGAGAAAAAGATCACATACTTTATCTTGTTCAGACATATGCACTGTTAAGCTATTTATGTCTGAAGTGATCAGATTTATCTCTGTGTCATTTAGATAGATTTAAAATTTCTATGACATCAGCCCCAGATTTCTGATTTGTTGACTTAAAATGAACGTTCGTAGTTGATTTCCCAGTATTTCTTTCTGGAGATCTGTGCAGAGTTCTCTTTGACTCTTGCTAGGCCATGCTATGTTTTCTTCTGGGTCTACTGTAAGTGCTTCACAGTCTTTCTGTTCCTTGACCTTATATATTAGAGAAATGTACTTTCAAGCACCAAACTTCAACTTCACCTTATATCTGATGGGTCAGGATCAGGAGACTTCTAAATTATCCTTCTGCCAAATACCTCTTGCGTGTATTTGGAATTATTCAGATGACACTGTGGATAGATTTATTGAAAGAAACATTCTACCTTATACTCTCTTATCATTCTTATTTTTTCTCCTCTCTCTCACAGTTCTAAATCTTTTGAATGGGCTGCCTATGATAGCGTTTTTCTTTAATATATGGGCTGTCCTTTGATTTGGAGAGCTGGTAAGGGCTTCATGCTTCTTGCCTTTCCTTTTTTTTTATACTTTGGGTTCATGCCTTTCTCTATTTCATAATCTAT